GCAGGTGCTTACCTACAAAGCCCTGAACGGTTTGGGACCAGCCTACCTGCGTGACCACATCTCCGTTTATGAACCCACGCGCTCACTTCGTTCATCCGGAGAGGCCCTGCTCGTGATTCCTCCTGCGTCGCAAGCGTGTTTGGTGGGGACATGGGACAGGGCCTTTTCTGTGGTGGCCCCCCGACTCTGGAACACCCTCCCCAAAGATCTCAGACAGGCCCCGACACTGTCAGTCTTCAGAAAGAACTTGAAGACCTGGCTGTTCCGATGTGCCTTCCCAGAATGGGAAATTTCCAATACCAAGTCCCAGAAGCACTTTATTAAAACTAAGATGGCTGCACACCGCACACTGCACTTGCCCTATAATGCCTTGTATACCACCTGTCACATCAGCACTTTTAATCCTGTACCCAGTACTCTGGCCCGGTCCAGTTTTATTGTGTCTTGGTGTATTGTTTATTGCTTGTTTTAGTATTGCTTTAACTGTTTTTAATTTGCTTTAGGTGTTGTATTGTTATGTTGTGTGTTGAGGCCTTGGCCTTTGTAAGCTGCATCGAGTCCTTCGGGAGATGCTAGTGGGGTACAAATAAAGTTTAATAATAATAATAATAATAATAATAAACAACGCTAACGGACCCCGCTGCAGCTACGAACGTGGCCCCGGTCCCTTGCACTTTGGAGAGAAACAATGGCTGTCCGTCCGCACATTGGAAGCATGCAAAATAAACCCAGGAAACGACTGCTGGGACCTTATGGGCTTCCTGGCCTCTTCCCCTTTGTGTTTTCTTGGCAGAGGAAGGAAGGGAAGGGCTGGGGGAGCGGGATCCGGACCCATTCCCATTCCCAGCCACCCACTCCTCAGGCCGGCTTCCGTCCTCCCTCCCTCCCTCCCTCCCTCCCTTCCTTCCTTCCCTCCCTCACTCTTTCCTTTTATCTGGAAAGGTTGGCCTGAGGTCTGGAGCTGGAAAGACGGGGTCTCCTTGGATTTCCTTCCTGGCCTCCAGCGCCCCTCCGCATTGGCAATGGTGATGGGGGCTGTTGTGCAAAAGAGTCTGGATTTTAGAAAACGCAAAGGCGGGATGCTTTGGGTGGCAGGCCTGCCACATGGCTTCAATTTTGGTGGCACCATATTGTTGCGGGTGCTTGGATTATTTTGTTGTTGTTACTACTACTGCTGCTGCTGCTACTACTACTAACTGACCTGTTTTAGTGATTGTTTTGTTCTGTTTCCATATCTAGATTGTCGCAGGCGCTTGGGTTTTGAAATATTGCTGTTATTATGTTCACTAACAGACTTGTTTTAATAATATTTGGGTTCATTCTGTTTCCATATTTATATGAGGCAAGTTTTGTTTTCCTTCCGTCATGCCTAGAGGGGGTTGGGCGGGGATGGCTTTTGGGGTCTCTTCCAACGCCAGGAGTTTGTGATTCTGGATTTGAAATGGCCTTGTTTTGTAGCATTGTGAGCCGCTTTGCATCCTAATGAGAGATTAAAAAGTGGTTTGGTTCTTGTGCTGTCGCACGCTGGGCCTGTGCATCAGACTCTAGACAGGACATAAATTCTGTGTGCCCAATGGGATGCCAGGGCTGCCTCAGATTAAAGGCCCTTGAATTTCCTTAAAACAAGTCTTTAGATTGCTTAAAGGTTCAACAAAGTTCTTTATTAATGAAAACAAACAGGTATTTCAAGGCTTTCTTAACAGTCTATAGGCTCTTTCAATCTTGTCCACAAGGAACAGGCACTATCTTCATGACTGGTATTTTAACTAATGGGGAAATCCTTAACTTCTAATCGGGCAGTCTGTACTTGCCTCTGTTGGCGTGGAGCCCTTGCACCCGGTACCAACTGCGTCTGGCTTCAGTGAGTGACCCTTACCAAACAGAGCTTTGTAGACTTCCAGGGGAAAAGGAGTTCAGGTTTCAGTGATGGCTGCCTGAAGTCCCTCCGCAATGGAGCTGTAAGGCTGTATGATCCTCGGCCAAGATGTGGGCTGTATAACACTGGCCAAGCTGTAGAAGATGAAGCTTTCTACAGGAGCTCTTGGTATTATGTCCTGCATGGAAAGCTTCTCTGTGTGGACTGAACCCAAACTGGCTCCTATTCCCTCCAAAACCCAAAAAGGGGGCGGGACCAGGGAACCTAACTATAATTGACAGGCGGCTTGCCCTATGATTGCAGCCAAAATAAGCCACCTATCTGCAGAGTCCCTGAAACTTAGGACTACAACAAACATTCAATGCAAAGCAAACAAAATTGGAGCTCCTGGTACAGTTGTACCCGCACAGTTCTTGTTACGATTCCTAACTGACTCCGTTTAATGATTGCATGTTCTGTTTTATTGTCATATTCATATGATGCAGATTTCAAATTGTGTTTGTTTTTTAATGTTGTGGGCCTCTTAATCAGCGATGGAAGTTGGGTGATAATAATAATAATAATAATAATAATAATAATAATAATAATAAAAGCCATAGATAATATGTTTTAAGCTGGAAGGAAAGTGGGAGGCATGTGTCCTAACTGGAAAGGAGGAGCCATTGGCAGAGAGAATAATAACTAGTATTTATTCTTATTACTTATTTACAGTATTTATATACCGCCTTTCTCACCCCTGGGGGGACTCAAAGCGGTTTACACATAAATAATGGCAAAATTCAATTTATTTATTTATTTATTTAAAGCATTTATATTCTCACCCCGAAGGGGACTCAGGGCAGAGCACAACATATAAACGGGAAACATTCAATGCCGAAACATATTATACCATACACATACAAAAGCATTAAAATCACATATTGCAACGTTAAAATCCACTAGTTAAAACTGTCTCAACAACCACATCGAATTTGGTTGGCATACTATGGGTTCCTATACGATGCCAATACAAACAAGAGAGGGCCATGAAGGCAGTTCCATCTTGTCTCCTGCACTGTGCTTATAATATAATATAATATAATATAATATAATATAATATATTGTATATACATATAATATTGATAATATTATAATGTAATACAATATAATACTACTTATAATAACATACTATAATTATATATCTTATATTAAATGTAATATTACTAATAATATTACAGTGTAATATTATAGTACAATATAATATATAACATTAATATTGTTCTATGGCAATAATATAATATATTGTATTTACTTACCACTCTGAGTCCCCTTCGGGGTGGGAAGGAAGGGCGCCATATCAAGGTCGAAAATAAATACATAAATAAATCATAATTAAAACAATACATCAGCAAGCATTAAAACAATAAAACAATCTCGTCAACTACCATAACTACCATATTGACCGGCTATTATGAATTATGGGAGTTGAAGTCCAAAACACCTGGAGGGCCGAAGTTTGTCCAGGCCTCATATTGACTCAAGTCTAATGCTCCATCGAAGGTGAGCATTAGACTTGAGTATAGTTGTTGTTGTTATTGTTGCTCCATCGAAGGTGAGCATTAGATTTGAGTAAATAGGATATTGTTGTTGTTGTTGTTGTGATGCCTGTGCCATATGCCTGCCACTCCGAAAGGTCCCTCCATCTTGTCTGGAGCCTAGTGACCTTGAGTGTGAGTGAGCCAGTGAGTGAGTGAGTGAGTGCTTGCTCACCTTGACCCCTCCTGCCTTGGAACCTGGCCTCTGCGTCCTCCTCTTGACCTGCTCTCCCTCTTTCCAAGGGCAAGGCTGATCTGGCCGGGGTGGTCCATGCCTTGGTCACCTCTAGATTGGACTACTGTAATGCGCTCTACATGGGGCTGCCCTTGAAAACGGCTCAGAAATTCCAACTGGTCCAACGGGCAGCGGCCAGGATGCTAACGGGGGCCCCTTACAGAGAGAGGTCAACCCTCCTGTTCAAGGAGCTCCACTGGCTGCCGTTTATCTTCCGAGCCCAATTCAAGGTGCAGGTTCTCACCTACAAAGCCCTGAACGGTTTGGGACCCGCCTACCTGCGTGACCGCATCTCCGTCTATGAACCCACGCGTTCACTTCGGTCATCCGGAGAGGCCCTGCTCGTGATCCCGCCTGCGTCGCAAGCGTGTTTGGTGGGGACATGAGACAGGGCCTTTTCTGTGGTGGCCCCCCGACTCTGGAACACCCTCCCCAAAGACCTTAGACAGGCCCCTACATTGGCAGTCTTCAGAAAGAACTTGAAGACCTGGCTGTTCCGATGTGCCTTCCCAGAACAGGCAACCTCCACTACCAAGTCCCAGAAGCACTTTATGAGAACTAAGATTGCCGCACGCTGCACTCTGCACTTGCCCCATGATCCTTACATGTCACCTGTCACATCAGCACTTTTAATTCTTTATCCTTCACTCTGGCCCAGCCCAGTTTTTTATTATGTTTTGGCGTATTGTTTATTGCTTGTTGTTTTGTTGTCTAATATTGCTTTAATTGTTTTTAATTTGCCTTGGGTTTTGTATTGCTATGTTGTGTATTGAGGCCTTGGCCTTTGTAAGCCGCATCGAGTCCTTCGGGAGATGCTAGCGGGGTACAAATAAAGTTTAATAATAATAATAATAATAATAATAATAATAATAATAATAAAGGCAGGCAGGGGCCTCCCAGCCACCTCTCCCCTTGTGAGTCAGCAGGGCCCTCCCTCCTCCTTCCTTCCTTCCTTCCTTCCTTCCTTCCTTCCTTCCTTCCTTCCTTTCCTCCATTGGTGGCAGCGGAGGCTTGGCCTCTTTCCGTCCTCCGCCTTCTTTCTTTCTTTCTTTCTTTCTTTCTTTCTTTCGCTGCTGGAGACGCACTCAGGAAGCGGCAGCAGTTCACCCTCTGCAGCTGCAGCATCAGCAGAATCCAAGGGCGGAAAGGAAGGGGTTCAGGGGGGACCCCAATGAGGACACTGCCGGCGGGCACCTGAGCTGCAAGGAGGGAGGGGCCTGTCTCTCCAGAGAAGGCTGCCTCCAGACGGCCGGGTCCGGCATCTCTGGCTGACCGCTGCCCATCACTGCTGCCCACGTGGGCTCCCCCCCCCCGCCCCACTCCACCTCCTCCTCCTCCTCCTCTTCCGTGGCTGAACAGAGCAGCTTGTGTTCGGCTTCCTGGCAGGCTCCCCGCTGCCTCCACCTTCCCGGATCCGTCTTGGTGGCCTCCCTCGCCTTGGGGCCGTTTCTCCATCTCTCCTTCTCAGGACGTGGCTCTCCGATTGTCATCCTCACCTTCTGGACTACAACAAGCGGCAGAAGAAGGACGGCAATCCAAATCAAAGCAGGGAGAGGCTCAGCGGTGTGGGAATCGGAGATCAGGACGCGAGGCGCTGCCCTCCTCCTCCTTCTCTGGCATCCCAGCTTTGAGGACCACAGACTGGGATCTCGGCTGTCATTGGCGTGGTCTCTTGGCCCTTCCTTCGATTGAATGGATTTGGTGCAAGGACAACAGTGATGACCGTAACCGGACAGTCCTAGCCCCTTGGATCCCCTCCCTTTGGTCAGCCATGTCGGCCAGGCGGAGCATCTCCTTCAGACCGGCGTTGGCAGGAGCGTGAGCGTGGCCAGGACTCACTTGTTGGGATGGACCTCCTCCAGAAGAGCAGATACAACCACCTGCGCAACGACTCCCTCTCCTCCCTGGAGGATGGGCCCTTGGGGGTGGCCGCGGCGGGGGTGGCGACGGCAGAGGAGGAGGAGGAGGAGGAGGGGGGCTCCCCGCCGGACCCCTTTGCGTTCCTGCCGGCGGGCTCTCTCTCCTCGTCGTCCTCGCTGAGCCCCATGCTGCCCCTGGGGGAGCTCTCCTCGGAGTCGGAGGACAGCCCCACCACCCTCTGCTCCTTCTTCCCCAAGATGGCCAACCTCAAGCTCTCCAACCCGGCCGCCACGCTGCTGGGCGGCTTCCGGGGCTTCTCCAGGGAAGAGCCACCCGTGCCCTCGCCCTTGCCCCCGTTGCCCCCGCCCTTGCCCCCCGTTGCCGCCTCCCCGGGCTCAGCTCTGGCTCTCTCTTCCCAGGATATGAACAAGCTGGGCTGCGGCGGGAAGAAGATGCGGGTGGAAGGCGGCCAGCTGGGAGGGGACGAGTGGACGCGCCACGGCAGCTTCGTCAACAAGCCCAGCCGCGGGTGGCTGCACCCCGACGACAAGGTCATGGGCCCCGGAGTCTCCTACCTCGTCCGGGTGAGTGAGCCAGGGCTTGTTCAGAAGAGGAACTCTCTGCCTCAGAGTTCGTTGGAAGCTGGGTGGGTGGGTGGCCATCTGTCAGGGGGGCTTTGATTGTGCTTTTCCTGCAGGGCAGGAGGAAAGGGGTTGGACTGGATGACCCCTGGGGTTGCTCCTGTTGTTGTTGTTGTTGTTGTTCTTTACAAAGGCTGGGTGGCCATCTATGGGGGTACTTTGTGCTTTTCCTGCGTGAAGGCAGAAGGGGGTTGGACTGGGATTGCTCCTATTGTTGTTATTACTAGTAGTAGTAGTGCTATTGTCATTACTACTATAGAGACTGGGTGGCCATCTATTGGGTTGCTTTGATTGTGCTTTTCCTGGGTGAAGGCAGAAGAGGGTTGGACTGGGATTGCTCCTATTGTTGTTGTTACTAGTTGTAGTAGTGCTATTGTTATGGCTACTACAGAGACTGGATCACCATCTATTGGGGTGCTTTGATTGTGCTTTTCCTGCGTGAAGGCAGAAGGGGGTTGGATTGGGATTGCTCCTATTGTTGTTATTACTAGTAGTAGTAGTGCTATTGTCATTACTACTATAGAGACTGGGTGGCCATCTATTGGGTTGCTTTGATTGTGCTTTTCCTGGGTGAAGGCAGAAGAGGGTTGGACTGGGATTGCTCCTATTGTTGTTGTTACTAGTTGTAGTAGTGCTATTGTTATGGCTACTACAGAGACTGGATGGCCATCTATTGGGGTGCTTTGATTGTGCTTTTCCTGCATGAAGGCAGAAGGGGGTTGGACTGGGATTGCTCCTGTTGTTGTTTTTGTTGTTACTAGTAGTAGTAGTGCTATTGTTATGGCTACTCCAGAGACTGGGTGGCCATCTGTCAGGTTGCTTTGATTGTGCTTTTCCTGCGTGAAGGCAGAAGGGGGTTGGATTGGGATTGCTCCTGGGGTTGTTGTTGTTGTTGTTCCTACTAGTAGTGCTATTGTTATGGCTACTACAGAGACTGGGTGGCCATCTATCAGGGTGCTTTGATTGTGCTTGTCCTGCATGAAGGCAGAAGGGGGTTGGACTGGATGGCCCTCTTTGAGGCACCTTCCAGCTCTCGGATTCTATCTCCCTATTATGGCAGAAGGGGGTTGGACTGGATGGCCTCCTTTGGGGCCCTTTCCCACTCTGTGAATCTATTAGTAATCATGATAACAATGGACACTAACCTCCCAGCCACCCCGCCTCCCTCCTCCTCTTTGGCCGGCCTCCCTGTGTCTGGGCGCCTGCCCCCGGTCTTCCCTTCCGCCACATGATTGCCCTTGACGGGCGTGTGCCAGGGAACGAGTGAGCAAGCGAGTGAGTGTGCGTCCATCCGTCCATCCGCCCCCGGGGGCT